CATCAGGGCTCACAGAGTCTGCATGGGTCTGTCCTAGGATCTCTGCATACATGCTGTGGCTGTTTGGCATGGTTTTGTTGTTGCTGTTGTTGTTTGGCTGCAGCAGGGGTTGCATTTTGCTGTGTACTCTTGGTTTGCTGTCCAGGACCTCACTCTGTAGACCAGACTACCCTCCAACTCAGAGATTCACCTGGCTTTCTCTCCTGAGTGCGCAGATTAAATGTGTTTGTCACAATCACCTGGCTTGCTTCAGGTTCAGTGAGAGTGGAGATGTCTCTGAAATTTTTACCTACACATGAAATGTTTTTGCCCCTATTGGTTTGCCTTGTCCAGTCTTAATATGAGGGTATGTGCTTACTGTTCTGGTATCTTGTTATGTCACCTTCAGTAAATGTCACTGAAAAGCCTTCTAGTCTCGGAAAGGAAATGGAGGTACAGTGAATCTGGGGATGAAGGAAAGTGGGGGAGGATTGTGTAATATTAGGAAAGAGGAGAGGATGGGAGCCTGTCTTCTTGTGTATTGAATGAGGGAAGAATAAATTTAAAAAAAGGAAAGCAACATCCACTGTGGGACATTCTCTGTGCTATTTTCAAACACACACATGTGCTTCTCTCTTACATCTGTGTAGGCAACCTCCAAAAACCAGCCATCAAGGCTGAACCAGGCTCTGTGATCCCCTCCGGAAAAGCCCTGACCATCTGGTGTCAGGGAAACCTGGATGCTGAAATATATTTTCTGAATAAGGAGGGAAGCCAAGAAACCTGGAGCACACAGACCCTACAGGAGCCTGGGAACAAGGGCAAGTTCTTCATCCCTTCTGTGACAGAAGAGCATGCAGGAGAATATCACTGTTATTGTTACAGCTCAGCTGGTTGGTCAGAGCCCAGTGACACCCTGGAGCTGGTGGTGACAGGTGAGGGGACAGTCAGATTCCTACCCCCAGGCTCTGCTCTCTGGAGTACTCCCCTCCCACCGAGTGATCCAAGAGAACATTGTGACACTGTGAGGACATGTAACAAACTTCCTCCTTTTCTCCTGGGAACCTATGGCTACTATAAACCCACGCTGTTTGTACTGTCCAGTCCTGTGGTGACAGTGGGAGGCAACATGACACTCCAGTGTGCCTTACAGAGTCACTATGATAAATTCATAGTCACCAGGAAGATCAGAAGTTCACGAGATCACTGGACACACAGTATATTCCTTCTAGTGAACTGTATGAAGCCCTGTTTGTTATGGGGTCTTTGACCCCAAACCACACAGGTATGTTTAGATGTTATGGTCACTGTGAGCATACCCCATAACAGTGGTCAGTACCCAGTGAGCTCCAACAAATTCTTATCTCAGATAAGTCCCTACTTGTTATTCACCTATCATTTTCTGATACCCTAAGTCCTTTGCCATGGCCTGCCCCTCTGCGGAGTTGCAGGTAGAGAAGGACTAAATGGAGAGCCAGTGTTCTCAATCACGGCCCTGCTTGGGGAGAAGTTGTGACATGTGCTGGGCAGGATGGGAAGTCAAAGGTTTTTAGTAAGAGCCAAGTCCTAAGTCACTGCCACCTTCCCTCTAGGGTTGTCCAAGAAGCCCTCTCTGCTGACTCACCAAGGCCATATCCTGGACCCTGGAATGAGCCTCACCCTGCAGTGTTGCTCTGACATCAACTATGACAGATTTGCTCTGTACAAGGTGGGAAAATCTAGCATCATGCAGCACCCTAGTCAGCGGACCGACACTGGCCTCTCTATGGCCAACTTCACACTTAACGATGTGAGCCTCTCCACTGGAGGCCAATACAGATGCTATGGTGTGCACAACCTCTCTTCTGAGTGGTCAGCATCCAGTGACCCCCTGGACATCCTGATCAGAGGTAAGGATCTACAGAGATTGAATCAGGTACCTAGCTACTGCCTAACCTCTCATGGTTAAGCTGAGAAGCTGATGGTCAGGATGAGACACAGGATCTTAGGAACAGATCCAGGAAGAGAAGAGTAGGAGCTGTGCTCAGTCAGAGAAAAGAGATGGAGACACAGGTTCTCAAGATGAAATCATGTGTTATTTGATCTAAAAATAAGGAAGCCAGCCTCTCATTATCCCTTTTCCCTTCAGGACAGCTCTCTGACACTCCTTCCCTCTCAGTGAAGCCTAACTCCACAGTACACTCACGAGAGAACATGACCCTGTTGTGTGGGTCAATGCACAGTGTCAACACTTCCATTAAGGGCAAGGATGGAGTGAAGGAGAAAGAAAGAGAGAGAGAAAGAGAGAGAGAGAGAGAGAGAGAGAGAGAGAGAGAGAGAGAGAGAGATGGGAAATGGTCATATCATGTGAGAAATGGAAGGATATGAGTGTTACAAGGGAAAAAACACAAAAAAACACACTGAGAATCTGAGTCTGTACTCTTATGGGCTCTCCAGGGAAACCGCACTAAGTATTCTTCTGTGACTGCTAAGAGTAGTGATGTAGGGACTAATTCCTGAAATGAACTGTTCTACTCTGAATTTGCTGGTTTCACTGGTATGTCATTGGTCTTCTATAAGCACAATTGTCCTAAAGTATTGAGTAAGAATAAGAAAGCAGACTCAGCTATGCCGCAGGAAAGATTCCTCCCAGAAGTCCTTGAGCTTATGTGGTAAGAAAACTGGGCATCTACAATAAACGATGAAGTGTAACTCAGAGGAAACAATAAGGTCTCCTCAGTAAACATTTATCCTACTCCTCTTACTCTATCCTCAGAACCAGCTGAGACCTTCTGTCCATCCTAGAACATGCCCAAACCCAAGTCAGTCCAATAAAGAAAATTGCAAGTCATAGCATAGGAAACAGTAGAACCGAGTTCTGTCCAGACAAAACATGGGCCCTTGGTGGACACTTAGTTTTCTTGCAGGAATTTGGAACATCCCTAATTTCTGTAACTTCTTTGTGTAAATCCACAGCCCCAGAGAACCAGGATCACACAATGGAGAATCTCATCAGGATGGGGATTGCTGTCGTGGTCCTCATAGCCCTTGTGATTCTGGTCTTTGAGGCCAGAGGCAACCAGACACAGACCCACTGTACAACTGGGAGATAATCTGAAGAGAACAACATATATTTTTCAAGGTACCACAGTACGGGAAATCAATCTGATGATGCAAAGTTTTCTGTCAGTAAATACAGAACTCAGGTTGACAAACTGTCAGGAGAGAATGTGCTGGGAGAAAAATTGTATTTGGGATTCAGAAGAAGGTGGGAGTTTAATGATGAGATTCTTACTCAGTAAATCAACTACTGTCCCTCCACATACCAGACCATTTGCTTCCTGAACCAACAGTCTTCTGAAACTATAAAGTGATGGAATATGCTGTCCCATCTGCCTGGAACTTCTTTGACATGTTTGATTGTGATTTCTGTAAGGGATATATTCATTTCACTTTTAAGGCCTTTGTGAACATTGTAATATTGGCTTTAAGGTCATTTTATAGTGTGTGTGTGTGTGTGTGTGTGTGTGTGTGTGTGTGTGTGTGTGTGGTGTGTTTCTGTGTCTTTGTGTTAATTTAGTTCTATTTAAGGCAAGTTGTTGGCCAGGGGCTTGGGAGGGGATAGACTTAGTGAGTATCTCTGGTTCTAGTAGGATCTCTGAAATGCATTCAGAGAAGACGGGTGGGAAATGGAGTATACAGTGAAGTTTCCTGCTCTTGGGTAAGAATTCAGAGGAGTAGCAGGCCAAGCTTTGATAGTGAGAGGCTTAACTGTTGTCCCTTCAGATGGAGGATTCCAGGAAAACAGGCCAACTTCTGGGTGATACTGATTGTATAAAGGAAGATATCCATAAAATGACTCCTAGATCAATGTTTTGCTCAGCAATTATCACAGAAGTTTCCTCCTGTATAATATGAGAAATTATACAGACTCATAACTGAACGATGTGCAGAGAAAGATCTGACTACACTGAATCCTGAATGGAATGGATGCCCTTTCTAGGCTCAGGAAACTTTGAGGAACAGGAGTTGGAGAGATTGTGTGAGCCAGAGGAGAAGGATGACACCAAGGAAACTATGTTTCCAGTCATAAGTGTCTAACGCAAATATGGACTCACAGAGACTGTGGCAGCATATACAGGGCCAGTACAGGTCTAAGTGAGATCATGTCCCAGTGCTGAGAGACAATGTAGACACAAGACCTCATCTATAATCCAGAAGCTATCACACACTGATAAACACTTGCCAAAGAAAAATTAGTTGTTCCAAGAAAGGCACACTGCTATGAAAGCAAACTAAAGGGCAATTCTCGGGCCCACCAGTGTCTGGACAACACAAAATGAACCCATGATAGTTTAACCAGTCTTTGCTTACATCGCTTGTTTTGCATATATATATATATATACGTATATGTATATATACGTATATATATATATATACATATATATATACATATAATGATTTCCTGTTTTGTATTTTCATGAGGTTTGAGGTAATTCATAATGTAGATGTGTATAAAGGTTACCAAATTACACATCTTAAACACATTCGATTCTATTTACAAGTGTTTCATGTATGGTTCGGAGATAGATTTTCATCTTCTTCTTCAATTTTTCCATTCTGTATGAACAATGATTTTATTTGTCTAATGTCATTTCAGTTTAAATTTCAGTATGTATGTGAAGTACTTAATAAAATTTAAATATTACCTCCATAACACAAACTTTCATAACCTTAAAATATGATTATACTGGCCCCTCCATTTTCTTCCTTTAAATAACTACCATATTCTGCTTCCCCTACTCACTCACAAACTGATCAGTTGATTTTCTTTGTTATATACATACATGTGAATATTATGTGCATAAATATGTAAACACATTCCACTGAGTCCATGTAGTGTTGTTTCTTCATGACTTTGAGGCTCACCATGTGACATTGCATGAGAAACTAAGGTCCGTCCCTAGGACAAAAGTGATTCTAACTCTCTCAACATTTCTTAGTTGTCTATCCTTCGTTATCTAGGGATGGTGACCTGTCAGAAATTCTCCTACCACACTAGTGTGTCTACTGGTGTTGTTCCTCTTCAGGTCTTCTTTAGGCAGTCATATTGTTGAGGTATTACGCAAATGGTTTTCCTGTCTTTCTAGGAGACAAAATCTTACACAAGATTTCTAGGTCTTATGGCACTTAGTCTTTCTGCTCCCTCTTCTGCAACGTTCCCTGAGCCTTAGGTGCAGGAATTACCTTGTAGATACATCAGTTGGGGCTAAGAACTTCCCAATTATGTGTTCTTTGTTATTTCACCAGTTGTGGTTTTCTGTAATGGACTCTGTCTCATACAGGAGATGTTTTTGTTCTGAGGTGTTAGAGCTATACATAAGTGTGTTAATTTTCTATAGTCTTAGAGTGAAAAATAAACCAAGGAAATACATTACACAATTTACTAGGGTCATAGTAAATATGTTTCCTGCAATAGTACGAGCATGAATAATCTTTACAATAATAACTTATTTGAAAAACTACAGGTCTAACCACTTCCTGAATGGGCTCATACCTGTGATGAAGGAATACTCTTTCTTTTTTGTTGGATATTTTATTTACATTTCAGATGTTGTCCCCTTACCCCATTTAAACCCCACCCTGCCCAGGAACCCCTTATTCCATCCCCCTTCCTCCTTCTTCTATGAGGCTTTGCCCCCACCTACCCCCCAACTCATTCCTCCCCTCTCTCGAATTCCCCACACTTGCAATCCAGCCTTCATGGGACCAAGGATCTCCTCTCCTACCTGTGCCCAACAAGGCCATTCTCCCCTACATATGCAGCTGGAGGCATGGGGCCCTCCCTGTGTGCTCCCAGGCTGGTGGTTTAGACTCTGGGAGCTCTGGTTGGTTGGTACTGTTGCTCTCCTCATGGGGTCCAAACCCTTTTAGCTCCTTCAGTATTCACTCTAACTCCTCCATTGGGAACCCCATGATCAGTTCAATGGTTGGCTGTGTATATGTCAGACTCTTGCAGACCTCTAAGAGACAGCTATATCAGGCTCCCATCACCATGCACTTCCCTTCATTCACATCAGCGTCTACCTTTCGTGACTGCATATGTGATGGATAAGCTGGTGGAATGGTATCCAGATGGTCCCTCCTTCAGTTTATGTCCTACACTGTGTCTCCATATTTGCTCCCTTGAGTATTTTGTTACTTCTTCTAAGAAGGACCGAAGGTCATCCTTCTTCATGAGCTTCATGTGGTCTGTGAGCTGAATCTTGTGTATTTTAAGCTTCTGGACTAATATCCAATTATAAGTGAGTGAATATCATGTGTGCTCTTTTGTGGTTGGGTTACCTCAGATAAGGTGATATTTTCTAGTTCTATCCATTTACCTAAGAATTTCTCGAATTCATTGTTTTTAATAGCCGAGTAATACTCCATCGTTTAAATGTACCACATTTTTTGTATCCATTCCTAAGTTGAAGGACATCTGGATTCTTTCCAGCTTCTGGCTATTATAAATAAAGCTGCTATGAACATTGTGGAGCATATGTCCTTGTTATATGTTGGAGCATCTTCTGGGTATATGCCCAGGAGTGGTATAGATGAGTCTTCAGGTAATGCTACGTTCAATTTTCTGAGAAACTGCCAGACTGATTTCCAGAGTGGTTGTACCATCTTGCAGTTCTACCAGCAATGGAGGAGTGTTCCTCTTTCTCAACATCTTCGTTAGCATCTACTATCACCTGAATTTTTGGTATTAGCCATTTTCACTGGTGTTAGGTGGAATCTCAGGGTTGTTTTGATTTGCATTTCCCTGAGGACTAAGGATGCTGAACATCTCTTTAGGTGCTTCTCAGCCATTAGAATTTCCTCAGTTGAGAATTCTTTGTTTAGCTCTGTACCCCATTTTTTATAGGGTTGTTTGGTTGTCTGGAGTCTAATTTCTTGAGTTCTTTGTATATATTGGATATTAGCCCTCTATTGGATGTAGGATTGGTAAAGATCTTTTCCCAATCTGTTGGTTGCCATTCTGTTCTATTGACAGTGTCCTTTGCCTTACAGAAGCTTTGAAATTTTATGAGGTCCAATTTGGCAATTATCGCTCTTAGAGCATAAGCTATTGGTGTTCTGTTCAGGAACTTTTCCCCTGTACCTAGGTACTAGAGGGTCTTCCCCACCTTCTTTTCCATTAGTTTCAGTGTATCTGGATTTATGTGAAGGTCCTTTATCCACTTGGACTTGAGCTTTGTATAAGGAGATAAGAATGGATCGATTTACATTCTTCTACCTGCTGACCTCCTGTTGAACCAGCAGCATTTGTTGAAAATGCTGTCCTATTACAGTAAATTATGTAGAAATATATAGTATGTATTTATAGTATATATAGTAATATATACTATATTATATATAGTATACTATAGTGTATATATAGTAAATTTTAGATAGCTATAGCAATATACAGCAAACCAGTAGCCAACATCAAACTGAATGGAGAGAAACTTGAAGCAATCCCACTAAAATCAGGGACTAGACAAGGCTGTCCACTCACTCCCTACATATTCAATATAATACTGGAAGTCCTAAATGAAGCAATTAGGCAACAAATGGAGGTCAAAGAGATACAAATAGGAAAGGAAGAAGTAAAAATTTCACTATTTGCAGATGATATGATAGTGTACTTACATCACCCCAAAACTTCCACCTGAAAATTCCTTAACCTCACAAAAAACTTTAGCGAAGTGGCTGGATATAAAATTAACTCAAACAAATCAGTAGCCTTCTTTTACTCGAAGGATAAACATACTGAGAAAGAAATTATGGAAATGACACCTTTCACAATAGCCACAAATAATATAAAATACCTTGGTGTGAATCTAACCAAGCAAGTGAAAGATCTGTATGACAAGAACTTCAAGTCTCTGAAGAAAGAAATCGAAGAAGATCTCAGAAAATAGAAAGATATCCCATGATTATGGATTGGCAGGAAAACTTAGTAAAAATAGCCATCCTGCCAAAAGCAATCTACAGATTCAATGCAATCCTCATCAAAATTCCAACTCAATTCTTCATAGAGATAGAAAGAACAATTTGCAAATTCACTTGGAATAACAGAAAACCCAGGGTAGTGAGAAATATTCTCAAAAATAAGAAAACTTCTGGGGAATAACCATCCCTGACATCAAACTGTACTACAGAGCAATAGTTATAAAAACGGCGTGGTATTGGTCCAAAGACGGGCTGGAAGATCAATGGAATAGAATTGAAGATCCAGAAATGAACCCACACACCTATGGTCACTTGATCATTGAAAAAGGAGCTAAAACGTCCAGTGGAATACCCTTTCTTCTAATGGTCATTATTTTCCTGTAGTTCTCTGTCTACAGATGGACCCTTGGAAATATCCATTCCTCAGTCATATATTCACCTGTACTGCATTGGTTAGATCCTGTTTATTTCTCAAAAAATTAAAAAGCCATGTCTTTGACAATTTCTCCAAAAGGACTTCACTGAAGTCTTCCTGGTTTTTTGTCTCTTACAATCTTTATGGACTCTCTAGTATTCCCTGAGCCATGTATACAGGTGCTGTGACAGAAATATGTCTGTTGGGACTGAACTCCTCATGTTCTGTGAAGGAGACTCACTGGATATATTTGTGCACCCATCAGTGAGCCCAACAGGGCCCTATAGATACAAGCACATGCTCATATACAGAACTTTGGTTAAAACCAATGGGAAATAACAAAACAAAAGGCAAAGATGAGGGATGTAAATTTTGGGATGTGAAGACAGTTGCTATGGATATGAGACATATAAAAGGGATCAGAACAGGAAGAATCAGAATGCATCATATGCATGTATGATATTTCAGTGAAACCATTCACTTAATAAAGACAAAAATAACCTGGAAAGAAGCTAAATTTGCTCTAGAAAGAGAAGATATTTTGCTTGGTTCCAACTATGCTGTTTCAGACAACATGAAAAGAAAGTTCATTTTTCCCAGATTCATGTGACCCTGAAGACAATATGAAATTAAGCACACAGAACTCTGAGCAGGTGCATGAAATGATGTTTCTTGCAGAGGAAGTCTCAGTCTCCAAATGATTATCAATAATATTCAATGTCTTAACCAACATCAATTTCAAAATGACCAGGATCCAATCATGATGGCGAGTTGATATTAAATCTCATGGAAACTTCAGTCCAAGGATTAATCTTACTGAAGGCTGTCTTCCCTCCACACGCATGCATCCAGCCTGGCCTCTATATGTTAGTAACAGTAGTTTCTACGAATTCTCATTGTAGTGAACTACAAATGTTCTTTCTTAAAACACACAGTTCTCACTTCTCCCTGCTCTAGTTCTTAGTTCCTTTTGTGGCTTTTAATCCTCTGACAGGAGTGTGAGCAGATGTTAAGGAAAATTAAAGAGACTGATTTCAGTTTAGAGCACTTGAATCTTCACACCCTCCCAGTCATTCTCTTCTTGTCAAAATTACAGCCTGACATTCATGGAAACTGTGTTACAAATCCTCAACAATCTAAGTTGAATGGAAGTTTTGGTAACCAAAAACCTGAGAAGAGACAGGCCATAGATCTCTACTACTGTTTTCCTAAAGGACATAGAAAACAAAATAACTGCTAGGTCAATGTCTTGCTCAGCCATTATCAAGGAAGCCTCCTTCTTGTAGGAGATGGGAACTAACACAGAGACCCTTCTGAACAATGTGCAGAGAGAGAGACCTTGGATTTCTGAATCCTTAATGGAAAGTCAATATCAAACACCCACACTCCCTGGGGTTCACAGGACTCTAAGGGAGAGAAATTGGAGAGATTGTAAGAACCAGACAACATGGATGGAACCAAGGAAATTATGTCTTCCAGACAATGGATGCAGAGAAACTGTGTCAGTATGCACAGGACCAGAACAGGTCTAAACTAGATGGTGTCCCAGAGCTGAATGGGGATTAGGGACACAAGATTTCATCCATAAACTTGAAGCCATCTCCAAGTAAAAATACTTGCAAAAGAAAATTTAGATTTTTTTCAACAGTCATATTGGCATATAAAGCACACTGAAGGGTAGGTCTCATACCCAGCAATACATGGCCAACACAAAACGTATTTTTGGAGGCATCTTTTTTCCTTACAGGTCTTTTATTTTATACTATGATTTCCTGTTTGGTGTTGTATATGATTTCTCTATGTATGAATATGTTTCTCTCTGTTTATACGTGCTTCACGACAGAATTCTGCGACTTTTGAAGAAACACTAATACCAATACTCCTCAAACTATTGCACAAATTAGAAACAGAGAAACACTGCAAACTCATTCAATGTAACTCTGATACCTAAAACACGAGACTCAAAAAGAAAGCAAATTTCAGATCAATCTCCCTATCAAAACTAGAAGGGCTTAGAAAGATATTTTACAAATTCTAAAAACCACAGATGCCAACCTAGACTATCTTACCCTGCAAAAACCCAACCATATTATGGTGCACAACCACTGGTAACTTCAATCCCAGGGAATCCAGTATTATCTTCTGAAAATACAAAAAACAAACACATACTGTGTCTCTGTGTGAGTGTGAGTGTGTGTGTGCACATGTGTGTGTGTGCACATGTGTGTGTGCATTATATACAGGCTAAACTCTAATAACTCTAATAACTTTATTAACTATATGCTCAGCCCAGGGAGTGGCACTGTTAGATGAAGAACTTTGGAGTAGGTGTGGCCTTGTTGGAGAAGGTATGTACCTATAACTTTAAGACCCTCATTCTAGCTCTCTGGAAGTTGGTTTACTGCTAGTAGCTTTCAGATGAAGATGTAGAACACTCACTCAACTCCTCCTGCATCATGTCTGGCTGGATGCTACCATATTCCTTCCTTGTTCATAATGGACTGAATCTCTGAACCTATAAGCCAGCCCCAATTAAATGTTTTTATAAGACTTGTCTTGGTCATGGCATTTGTTCATATCAGTTAAACCTAAGACAATCTTAAATTACATAGATTTAAAATTTGATCTTTAAGACATAAACATCTATATAAAAGCATGTACCATCAGACATTGTATGAGAGAGGGACAACAAGATAAAACAGACCACTCAGGCTACTTTGCTATTTGACAGAATAGCTAAGCAGAATATCAGTAAGGGATCATCAAACACCACAAGCAGACTTCAAACCAAGGACACGATTGTGTTAAAACAAGGCACCCACAACATTGTCCAGGACAGCCCACTGCAGGTCACAGAACAGGCCTTTGGATTAAGAAGGTGAGCTCACATCAAGGAGTAGTTCAGTCACACACACAAAAAATAATACAGTGATTTATTAAGTGAAAGGAGAAATGGGAACTCTCATGGGATTAAACAGCACATTTGCAACAACCAGAAGTTCAGGGAAAGAACCAGGTTAGTGAAATTCAGGCTAATAAGGAGAGTAAGCAGATGAACAGAGTAAGGAAAAGGGAAGATGGAGGGAGAAGGACTCAAGCAAAACACAATATACATAGGAAAGATAATTTTAAAGATGTAAAATTTTAAACCCAAACCTGGAAGTGGTGGCCCATATCCCTAATCCCTGCACTTGGGAAGCATCGTGTGGAGATTTCTATGAGGTCCAGTTTAGTCTGGTCTACATAATCAGGTCCAGGACAACAGGACTACATAGCCGCAGAGTGTCTCAATACAACCACAAAGATAACTAAGCCCATCAGCATAGGGAAAAAGATAGTAGAGGGAAAAAATACAACACCAAACATTGAAAATTACAGAGTAAAACTGGCGTGTAGCTCACTGGTAGAGTATGTGCTCAGGATACTGGAGGCTGTTCCATCAAACCCTAACACAAAAGTAAACAGGAAAAATTAACTTTATGAAATCTTTTTCTTGAACTCTACCTCCATGCAGACGCCAGCACGTAAGTCGTTGACAAGGAACTTAAGGGCAAATCTATCATCTTCCAGGTTGAACACAGTGACATCACTGACAATGTCAAGGCTGAGAAAGGGCAAGAAGTCATGTAGTTAAAGCCCCAGCAGCTACCATTAAAACTTATGGACAGAAACCAAACCCTTCCTTGACCACTACATCCAGAAAGATCCACCCTACACATGGTGCTGTGCCTGTGTGATGTCATCATCCAGGAACCCCTTTGCTGGATTCCCCAAGTTTACAACTGTAACACAATGATACAGTGCTGCCCTCAAGTGCTGCCCACGCCTGCACCACTGCACAATGAACTGCCACAAGAACAATGGTGGTCACACCAGCAACCTGTGACAGCAAGAAACTCAAATAAACCTGGGCACCTTTTTGGATCAAGTAATGTTTTGACTGAAGAAGGAGGACTTGTGAAAATGATGACGGTAATTTTTTGACCTGTGAGTTGTCTTTGTGATCACCTTTAAGAACTTAGTGTGATTTACAGGATCAACAATGTACAAGAAATTCTGATTCTGAAGTTGTCCCCAGACCTCCATGCATGTAGTTTGAAAACCACGTATGTACACACACAGACACACAGACACACACACACACAAACACACACACACACACAAATGAGTAGATAAATTAGCAAAAAATAATTTAAAAGTTGTACTAAAGTATATACACATTAAAAAACAGACATAGTAGTACATATTTATAATACAGCACTTGAGAGTATGAGAAAAGTTATAAAATTTTTATATGTGTATATATGATGCAGACATATACACCAAGAAATTTCTCAGAAACATTAGAAAATATTGAAAAGAAGTAAACATTTCACATAAAAATGTGAAAAAGAACAAAGAACAACCACGCTTAAATTTGTACTGTTGTGGGAGATGTTCACACATGTCTGCTACAACATGACTCTGACAGTGATGACAACAGGCAGACATGGTGGGGTATGGAAATGTCATATGTGTAAGACCTGATTACAGAGGGTCTACTGTCTGACCTAGTCATAGCACTGAGGAACTCAGAGCATGGTGTCTGAGGAGAGAAGTTCCAATTCCTGTGGTGCTGCTGAAATATTGCTATGTCATAACTACAGCAGTGCCTCCCAGGTCACACCCTGTTTTCATTCCCTTCAGACAGGCTCTGTAGCTCTGCCCTCAAGTACAGTTGTTGTCTCTGAGAGGAGATGCCATGACCTTCACCTTCATGGCTTCCTTCTGTCTTGGTGAAATGTGAAGAGGGGGAGGGGATACTGAGATTTATAGCTGAGCACTGACCCATCAGGAGACCCCAGGGACTCAGATGGTTCTACAGAGGAGAGGACCTGCTATGGTTTCAGGAACAAATATGTTACAAAAGACTCTCTTCCACGACTGGCTCTAGGCATCTGGATCCCAGTGTTAGCAGGTGAGTGTGTCTGCAGGTCTGAAATGCTCTTCTCTTCATATCCAATAGCCATGCCTGGACAGTGATGGTGAAAAACACAACAAGTGTATTAACCCTGGAGAGTGGGTGGAGGATCATGGGGTTAAGGACTGCAGTCTGAGGATGGATGTTCTGGGACTTAGCTGTTCTTTTCCTTCCAGGGTCACTCCCTAAGCTTATCCTCAGACTCTATGGTCTGCAAGGAGACAGATGTGACCTTCTTATGTGAAGAAAACTGAGGAACCAAAGACTATAAGCTCTATAAACAGGGAGGCCCAGCTCCATGGACAGCAGAATTCCCACCTAAACCTGGGAAGAAGGTTGAAATCTCCATCTCAAAAATTGACCTGTACGTTGCAGGAAAAGTACTGCCGTTACTATCAGACCTATGATGGATGCTCCAAATACAGTGACCTTCTGGAGCTGGTGGTGACAGGTGAGAGGGAAAAAGTGTCCCCATCCTGAGGCCTCACTGTCAAGAGTCACTCTGCTCTCAGTGCTGCACTACCACCTCACAGCCCTGGAGGATGACAGAGCCTGACACATTTAATTGATTCTGCCTTATTAGCCCAGCTTGTTAGCCCAGCCCAGCCCTGTGTTGACCTAAGGACAGAATGTCACCCTCTAGTGTGTTTCAGAGCAGGATTATAGCATAGTTACTCTGACTAAGGAGGAACCAGAGAACCTCTCCTAGAGGGAGGACTCACAGTAGAACAATAAAACTAGAAATTTTGAGGCCTCCTTCTCTGTGGGTTGGGTGACCTCCAGCCAGCGATGGACATTCAGATGCTACAGTTATGACAGGAGCAGGCCACAGATTTGGTCAGAACCTAGTGACCTCCTGGAGCTCCTGTTCTCAGGTGAGGAACCACAGCCTCTAAATAGAATATTGAAATGAGACAGGTGCTCAGGGAGGCCTTGATGTGTGCTGTATTTGAAGAGCCAAGACTCTTTACCCATTGACACAGAGCACAGGAGACAGTGGGACCAAGACACAGAACCAACATGGAAAGTGATAGTAAAATCCAGGATGTTTGGAGTGACATGAGTCTTCATGGGCCTTTGTCCTATTCTGGATCAACTTAAATGTCATCCATCTCCAAGTGAGACTTCCTCTGTGCTACTGTCAAAGAGACCCACCTCTTTTTCTCCTACGTTCTTGCAGGGGACCTCCCCAAAGCCTTTATCAAGGCTGAGGCAGGCTCTGTGATCACCTCTAGAAGTTCTATGACCATCTGATGTGAGGGGACCCTTGATACAGAAATGTATTTTCTGCATAAAGAGGGAAGTCACAAAACATGTATAAAACAGAACCCAGAGAAGCCTGGAAAGAAGGCCAACTTCACTATCCTTTTTGTGACAAAAACAACATGCAAGGCAATATTGATGTTACTGCTACAACTCAGCTGGTTGGTCAGTGCACAGTGACCCCTGGAACTGGTGGTGACAGGTAAGAAAACTGTCACAGTCCAGTCTTAGTCTCTGTGCTCAGGAGTATTCCCTCCTACAGATTAGCCCTAAGGAATATCATGATTGCATGAGAACATGTGATTGTTTCCTCCTTCTCTTCCAGGAATCTGTTACAATAATCCTGTCCTTTAAGTACTGTCCAGCACTGTGGTGACCTCTGGAGGAAAAACAAAGCTCAAGTGTAGCTCAGTAGAGGGATATAAGTTCTTTCTCACCAAAGAAGAGAAATTTCCCACCTCTCTGAATTCACATTATGTAGATGCTACTTGGCATTCTATATCTCTGTTCACTGTGGAAAAGGAGACCACAACCCAAACAGGAACATTCAGATGTTATATTTACTACTCGGATACCCCAGAGATGTGGTCTGTACAGAGAGAGCCTATGAAAATTCACATCTCAGGTGAGTCCCCACTGTCATTCACAATCGTTTTGTGAGACCCTAAACCCTTTGCCATGGTCTGTCCTCTAGAAGGCTCCAGGTAGAGAAGGACTAAATGGAGAACCTGTGCTCTGAACAATATCCTCATTTGAGACTTTGTGACATGTGCAGGGCAGGATGGGAGCCTACAAGTATTTGGTAAGACCAAGTCCTCAGTCCCTAGGCTGTCACCTTCACTCTAGGACTGTCCAAGAAGCCATCTCTACTGACTCACCAAGGCCATATTCTGGACCCTGGAATGAGCCTCACCCTACAGTGTTGCTCTGATATCAACTAGGACAGATTGGTTTTGTACAACTTGAGGAAAGCTGACTTCATTCAGCACCTTAGCCAACACACAGAGACTGGCCTCTCCTTGGCCAACCTCCAACTGGGCTATGTGAGCCTGTCCACCGGGGAACAATACATATGCTATAATGCACAGAACCTCTCCTCTGAGTGGTCAGCCTCCAGTGACCCCTGGACATCCTGATCACAGGTGAGGAACTAAAGAGATTCTTTCAGGGACCTGCACTCTGCTCAGGCTTTCATTGGAGAGCCCAGGAACTGAGGGATGAGATGAGGGATAAGAATCTTGGGCAGAAACAGATGGAGAGCAAGATCAGCAGGAGATGAGCTCTGTCAGACAAAAGAGACACAGTCCCCAGTGTCGTCAAGGGAAAACCAGGAGAAATTTCAACTCAGAACAATAAACACAGCCTCTCATCATCTCTCTTCTCTTTAGGACCTCTCTTTGTGACTCCTTTCCCCTCAGTGCAGTCTAACTCTACAGTACACTCACGAGAGAACGTGATTCTGCTATGTTGGTCAATATACACTGTAGACACTTTCATTTTTTCCAAGGAGTGTTCAGCCCACCAAACTCTTGAACTAAATCAAAGTTCCAAAATCAGAATTTCCAGGAAGAACTCTCCATGAGTGCTGTGAGCTCCACCCTCTCCAGCACCTACAGATGCTATGATTGTCAAGACTCATCTCTGCCTGTTCTCACATGCAATGCCCCTGTGGAGCTCATAGTCTCAGGTGAGGTGATGCTTGTATCTGAGAGTAACTTACAATTGAAACAAATTATTGTCCCTCAACATACTGGGAGCCTTTGCTTCCTGAACCAACACTTCTTCTTTTTCTTTTTTTAATATAATATATTTTTTTTCAAATTGTAATTTATACTCATTTATACAGGGGTTATAAACACAGAAAGACAGGATGTGGGGAAGGGGATGACACTGGAGTGTGGGTGTTCAGGGGGAATACAGATATCTTTCAGAACAGGGTATCGGCTAAACCAACACTTCTGAAACTATAAAGTGATGGAATATGCTGTCCCATCTGCCTGGAATTTCTTTCACATGTCGATTGTATTCTTCTGTATTTCTCTTAGACATTTATTTATTCACTTTTAAAGCCTTCTGTCATCTTTATAAATTTATTTAAAGTCATTTTCTTATGTGTGTGTATGTGTGTGCGCGTGCGCACGCATGTGCACACATAAGCGCCTGTGTGTCTGTTAGCTTATTGCCAATAGATAAGCATTCAGGCAACTAGGTTGTCAGGGATGTGTGACACACAGATATTTAGTTCCTGTTTCTGGTGACAGCAGGCCTCCTAGTAAGCATGCAGGTCTTGGAGTGGGAAATGGAGAATGCAGTGGTGTTTATTGCACTCTGCTAAGCATTCAAGGGACTTGGCAGGCCAGGGCTTGGAGAGGAGAGGCTTACCTAGAGTCCCTTAGGATGGCAGCCCTCCAAGTAATCAGGCAGAGTTGTATATGCCACTATTTAAAAAAAATACCAATAAAATGATTCCCAGATCAATGTCTTGTTTATCAGTTATCACAGAATTTTTCTCCTGCAGGAGATGGGAACTAATACAGAGACCCACAACTGAACAATGTGCAGAGAAAGATCTGAAGACACTGAATCCTGAATGGAATGTCTGCACATTTCTTGGCTTGGGGAACTTTGAGGAATTGGAGTTGGGGAAACTGAGAGCCACAGGACATGGATTACTCCAAGGAAATTATATTTTCCAGATACAGGAGGCTGACACAAATATGTACTTGTAGGAACTGTGGCAATATGCACAAAGCCAGCACATGTCTACGTGAGTTTCTGTCTCAGTGCTGATACATGTGGACACAGATTTCATCTATAACCCAGAAGCTAACTACAAGTGATACATCTGCAAAAGAAAATTTAGGATGATGCGAGCGGAGCCGGAGACAAGAGCAGAGGCTGAACTCGGGATCTCACAAGATGGCCGGGCTGCCCCGCAGGATCACCAAGGAAACCCAGAGTTTGCTGGCAGAACCAGTTTCTGGCATTAAAGCAGAACCAGATGAGAGCAACGCTCGTTATTTTCATGTGGTCATTGCTGGCCCCCAGGGTTCCCCCTTTGAGGGAGGGACTTTTAAACTTGAACTATTCCTTCCAGAAGAATATCCAATGGCAGCACCTAAAGTACGTTTCATGACCAAAATTTATCATCCTAATGTAGACAAGTTGGGAAAAATATGTTTAGATATTTTGAAAGATAAGTGGTCCCCAGCACTGCAGATCCGAACAGTTCTGCTATCCATCCAGGCTTTGTTAAGTGCTCCTAATCCAGATGATCCATTAGCAAATGATGTAGCTGAGCAGTGGAAGACCAGTGAAGCCCAAGCCATAGAGACAGCGAGAGCATGGACTAGGCTATATGCCATGAACAATATTTAAGTCGATCAGATCATCAAGTGTACACCACTTCTCCTGTTCTGCCAAGACTTCTTCCTTTTTTTTTTTGTTTGCATTTAATGGACACAGTCTTAGAAACATTACAGAATAAAAGCCCAGGCATCTTCATCTCTGGTGATTACATGTACATTAGCAAATCTGTCTTGTCCTGATTCACTGTTGTAAAGCATGAGCAGAGGCTAGAAGTATCATCCGGGTTGCTGAGAGATGTTGAGAAGCAGGACTCTCTTCTTTGACTTCTTCCCCATCATGGTTAAAGTACAAGGCACTGTGAATGAAGGTAGTTGTCAGGGTTAGCTGCCAGGGGTATGGGTGTTTTTATTTTATTTTTTGGGGGGAAAATAGTTTAATTTTATGGCCTCCTTTCCCCTCCTTCCTCTTAAGGATCTAATTGCAGTGGTTAAATGCAGCTAACCAGTTTTTTAGAATACGCTCTCTAGCCAAGTCTAACTTTAGATGCTGTAGATGGACAAGCTTGATTGTCTGAACCAAAATGGGAACATGAAATAAACATCACAGCCCTCACTAATAACATTGTGACTTTGCTGTCAAGTGTAGAGTCTCCGTCCCCCACCCCCACCCCCAAAAGACAAAGAAAAAATCTTGTGACCATTTTGTATGGCTTGTCTGGAAACTTCTGTAAATCTTATGTTTTAGTAAAATATTTTTTGATATTCTAAAAAAAAAAGAAAAGAAAATTTAGGTTTTCCAACAATGTACAATGGTTTGCAAAGCACACTGAAGAGCAGGTCTCATGGCCAGCAGTATGTGGATAAAAGAAAATGAACTCACTGGTGTTTTTGCAGTTCTTTGCTCATAAGACCTGTCTTTTTTTTTCCACAATGAAACAAATTTATTCATTTTACACAAAGTTGTTATAACTCAGAAATTATTTGCTGGAGGTTAAATCCTATTGCTGTGATGGATTTCTAAAAGAAGAGCCAACAACTAAATAAGAAAGTTTTAATTATTTCCTATTATGCACTCAGCCATTTATTTCTCTTATTTGTGGTTTATGTTCAATGTCAATCATTTCCACAGCATGAGAAGTTAGAAGTTAGCATGAATCAAAGTATGAATATACAAACACAATATCCCATCAAACACATATACAGCATTCAAGTACAAAGCAAGATGGAGTTTTGACTCTCACACACAGTAGTTTCGTATCTGTGAGATCTGAATGTTCATGTGTTGGTTTTTATTTATTTATTTATTTTTATTTTTTATTTTTTGGAAAAAACTTTTATTGAAAGATTGACCTAATGAGGAAACAATGCTGTGATGTTGAGTAATCTGCCTTTATTTTCATTTATTAAATGGGACTCATAACAGGCTATAATGTTTTTTTGAACTCTCTTGGTACATTTGCTCTGAAGGTCTTCTGAAGGTGCTTATAGTATTTATTTATTTATTTATTTATTTATTTATGTATTTATTTTCAAATCGTAATTTTTACTTATTCACACAGGGGTTATAAACACAAAAAGGCAGGACATGGAGAAGGGGATGACACTGGAGCATGGGTGTTCAGGGAGAATACAGGTATCTTTCAGAATAGGTTATCGGCAAGGTGAAGGTTCAGGGGACAGGTCACTATGACTCTGCCTATGATTCACTTGTCCTTATCTAAGTTGGTATTTTCTGCCAAGGCTACCTATTTACAAGGTCTATGACTACTCAGGCTGGTGAATTTCCACAAAAGCTGCCTGTTTACAATAGTTTAAAGCCATCTCTTTCAATGTTTTTCCACAGAGACCCACGACTTGGTGTTAGTATACATGTATGGCAGGCCTATTGCTGATTTTAGCCCTATGGCTGATTTTAGGCCTTCAGTGTATAAGCAGGGGTGTCCCTGACATCTCCTCCCTTCTCTAAGTATAGAAGGGCTGTGGTGATTCTAATCTTGTGAAGGCAGGGATAGAGGCCTGACCTCCAGTAATTGAAGAGGACCTTGTAATGGCTCCAGTCCCCCTGTCATTGTCCAGTGAAGCATGAGGGCCATACCCATCCTGATGTCTTTTTCCTGGAGAGGGGATACTTTTGACATCAACCCCTATGCTGTTAGGCTTGTCCCTCAGGCAACCCAGCGAGATATTTTTAACTTTTATTTATAGTCCTTTGCAGTGCTTAGCCTCGCAGCCTAAGCAAGAATTCAGATTGCCAGTCAGAGGGGTTCTGGGTGGCCCCTCTCTGCTTGAAGACCTGTCTTTTGATATGTCTTACTTTGTCTTCTACTTTTATATTGTGATGTCCTGTTTTGTGTCTTTGTGATATTTCAGGGAATTCATAAGGTAGATGTGTAAAGAAATCACAAATTTATTCATCTCAAGAACAAACAATTCTCTTTACCATTGATTCGTGTATGATTTGAAAAAAGATTTTTGTTTTCTTCATCAAATTTTCCATTGTGTGACTAACATTATTGTGCCTAATGTCATTTCACTGTAAATTTCAGTTCATATATAAAGTATTATACAGAATTTAAATACTTCTTCCATAACAAAAACTTTTATATCTAACATATGATTATATTGATCCCTCTACTTTTTTCCTTCAAACCACTGCAATATTCCTCTTTTCCTACACACTTTCCAACTGATAGGCTGAGTATTTTTGTCAAATATAAATACATATACACACACATACACATATACATACACATATACATATATATGCATAAATATGTCAACATGGTCTCTTAAGTGTTGTTTGTACATGACTTTGGTCCTCAACATATGAGGTTCCATGAGAAACTAGAGTCCATCCCTGGAGAAGAGTGATTCTACCTCCCTCAGCACTTCTTAGTTGACCACTGTTCTTTGTCTAGGGCTGCCGGCCTGACAGAATTTCCCCTACCACATTAGTGTGTCTACTGCTGTTGTTCTTCTTCAGGTCTTCTTTGGGCAGCCATATTGTTGAGGTTTCACAGAAATAGAATCTCAGTCATTTCTAGGAGACACAATCTCACAGAAGATTTCAAGCTCTTACAGCACTTAGTGTCGTCGTTGTCCTCCTCCTCCTCCTCCTCCTCCTCCTCCTCCTCCTCCTTCTCCTCCTTCTACTACTATTACTACTACTTCTATTTCTTCTTCTATTATTATTATTATCATTATTATTTTACTAATACTTCTTCTATGATATATCCTGAACCTCACATGCAGGATTTCCATTGCAGATGGATCAACTGATTCTAAGAACCTCCCAATCAGTTACTCTACGCAATGTGACCAGTTAAAGTTGTCTGTAATGGTGTCTGTCTCCTATAAAAGATGATTCTATAATGAAAGGTAGGAGCTACACATATCTGTTAGTGTTTCCAGCGTTTTAAAATGAAAAATACACCAACAAATATATATGACACACATTAATAGATTCAGAGTTAATATGTTTTCCTTCAGTTGTGAGCCTGTCATTCAATAGTAGAATAATAATGTATCTGTCTAAAAAATTATAGGTCTAACCATTCAGCACTGGGAAAATGATAAACAGGCTCACACCTATGAAGGACTAATTCTGTTTTACTAGTGTTTGTTATTTTCACGTACTTCTCTGTCTATGCATGGGACTGCATGAAAATATCACCTTTCTGCATTAATATATTCATTAAGATCTTTTTTGTTGTTGTTTTTTGAGACAGGGTTTCTCTCTGTAGCCCTGGCTGTCCTGGAACTCACTCTGTAGATCAGGCTGGCCTCAAACTCAGAAATATGCCTGCCTCTGCCTCCCAAGTTCTGGGATTAAAGGCATGCACCACCACCGCCCGGCCAATATATTCATTAAGACTGCATTGTTCTAGACTTGCTTGTTTCTCCAAAAATTAAAAAATTATTTCTTAGACTATACTACTAGGAAAAACTATTTCACTGAATTCTTCCTGATATTTTGTCACTTACAGTCCTTGTGAACTCTCTTCTCTAATGTTCCCTGAAATGTACATACAGGTGTTGTGTTGTAGATGTATCTCTTGGTGCTGGACTCTTCATGATCTATGAAGGAGACTCACTGTCTTTAGTCATGCACTCACGTGTGATCCCATTGGGTTCCTTAGATACAGACACATAGTAATGTAAAGAACTTTATTTAAAGTAGAGACTTGATTGCCAGGTAGGGGGATAACAATGGGGATCTCCACAAAATCTGAGGAAGTGAGGATGGGAAAATGGGAGGAGGAACTTTGTGAAGGGGAAACCAGGACACAGGTGAAGGAGTGGAATTTTCAGGGATGAGGTGGGAGTTGCCATGGAGAGGAGATATATAAAAGAGATTGAGATAGGAATGATCAGATGCATTATATACATGTATGACATTATCACTGAACATACACATTAAATGAGACAGAAAATTAACTTGGAAAAAAGTTGAATTTGCTCTGGAAAAAAACCAAGGGATTTGCACTGATCTGACTTCTCTGTTTCAGTCAATTTATTGAAAAGGGACTTCATTTTCTCCAGGTTCATATAACTGTGAAGTACCTGTGACAATATTTAGTAAGCAGAGGAATTAGGAGATGCTTGAATTGATGTTCATTGCAGAGGAAGTCTCATTTTCCAAATGATTATCAGTAATGTTTAATGCCTATTAAGCCAACATCAGATATCTAATGACTGAATCCTATCATGCTGGTAATTGATATTAAAACTCAGGCAAACTCCAGGCCAAGAGATAAAATTACTGAAGGCTGTTTCCTCCCCATGCATCCAGCCTGCCCTCTTTTTCATAGGTAGCAACAGTTCTCCTATGAATTCTTGCTGTATTTAACAAATATATTTCTTAGCAAATGCTGTTCTCTCCTCTCCCTGCTCTAGTTCTTAGTTCCTTGTGTGGTTTTTAATCCTTGGAGAGTCATGCAAACAGCTATTGAGGAAAGTTTCAGAGACCTGATTTCAGTTTAGAGCAGTTGAATCTTCATATCCTCAAATTCCTTGTCCTCTAACCAAGATTACAGCCTCACACCCATGGAAATAATTATATACATCCCTACAAATCTAAGCCCCACCACAACTCTGATGTCCAAGAACCTGAGCTGAGGTAGGCCATGGGTCCACTACTGTTTTTCTAAAGTAACACAGCAATAACATGACTCCTAGATCAATGTCTTGTTCTTCCATTATCAGAGAAGCCACATCCTTCTAAGAGATGGGAACTAATGCAGATACCCACCAATGAAAAACGTCCAGAGTGAGTCCTTGGAACAGTGAATCCTTAATGGAATATCGGCATCAAACATTCACCATTTCCTGGTCACAGGAGACTCTAGGGAAAAGGAATTGAAGAGATTATAAGAACAAGAGGCCTTCCAGTCTGTGACTGAACACTGAGCAAGTCTTGGGCTTCAGCTCTGCACCCAATCCCACAAAACCCAGTGGAGGCGGGGCTCCCAGGAGCTCTCACCCCGGCAGTAACTTAGGTAAGGAGACAGCAACACCCGCACCAAACAGGGAGTAACTAGGACCCACTGGGACCCTGGAATTCACTCCTGGCTAGGGGCATTGGTTCCTTCAGGTCTGCACCTGAGCACCAAGCAGATCT